ATATTGGAACATTGCTATTATGTTTCCCCTAGTCCTTCTCTTCATTAGACTAGGCATACCCAAATGACCTATGACCATTTCTCACACTTATGACCAATGCAGCATGGGCACATGATTGACATTCAGATGCTTGACAACTGACTCACATTTATGACGGTTACAATGTCCCAGAGTCATGTGATTCCCCTTTACCGACCTTCTGACAAGCAAAATCAGATTCACTTAGCAAACATGTGACTAATTTAAGCACTGCGGTGATTCACTTAACAAATGAGCTGAGAAAAGTAGCAAAATAAACGAATTTCTCACATAGCAACATAAATGTAGGGCTCAACTGTAGTCATAAGTTGAGGGCTACCTGTATAGGAAATTAGCTGGATTTTTTATTTTTATTTTTTTGGTCTTAGTTATCATTAAGTCACCAAATGTGATGGGCGGAGGGGGGAATGATGGATAGGGAACATAGAGAAAGAGATGGTAGTGAAGGATGTGGGTTTTCTGCATTTCAAACACAGGGATTCAACCTGGGTCTTCTTGAGTTCCACCTATAAATCTTCTATAACAGTGGTCCCCAACCACCGGGCCCTGGACCGGTACCGGTCTGTGGATCATTTTGTACCAGGCCGCCGGTTTGCTTGGGCGCCGCCATCTTGTTTCGACGGCGCTTGAGAAAGTGCTTCCGGGTGAGCTTGTCGGTCGTCGGTTGGATGGAAAGCGGCGTTTGGGTGCTGAAGGAATCCTCGCGCCTTAGTTTCGTCGAAGGGGGGGGGGGCGGCTTCGAACGAAGAGCTGTCCCAATGGCGGTGGAGTCTCGTGTTACTCAGGAGGAGATTAAGAAAGAGCCCAAAAAGCCCATCGACTGTGAGAAGGTGCAAAGGAGAAGTTGAAGGTGGCGGGGAGAAGTGGGGGACGGCTGGCTGGCCGGTCGCTCGGCTCGCCTTGCCTTGGTCGTGCGTGCTGATGCCGGTACCGGTCCGTGGATCATTTTGTGATGCCGGTACCGAGCCGTGGTACAAAAAAGGTTGGGGGCCATTGTTCTATAACATTCTTAGCAACCTAGAATGAGGGAGAAATTTCCTGACAGTGAGAACAATTGAGATGTGAAGTAGGAATGAAAAGAAGGAAGAGGAAGAGCCCAATGTAAATTTGAAAGGAGGGGCTTATGTCTAGAACTCTTTCCCCACCCCAGAAACACTGATGGGAACTCACCCTGGGTGGAAGAGAACCTCTATAGCACCATGGATCCCATTCCTAACCACCTGAGCAGGGTCAGAAGAATGCTATGACTGATTGATATAGAACAAGGGTGTCAAACTCAAGGCCCGCAAGCCCAGATCCGGCCCATGGGGCGCTTAAATCTGATCCCCGGGGCCATCCTGGAAACAGCAAAGGATTGGCTCGCGGTGCCTCTGCCAGAGAAAATGGGACTCAGGAGGGCTGCACGCACCTTTTTTCCCAGGCTCCGTTTTCACTAGTGGAAGGCTATTGAAACAAACTAAAAACAAAACAAAAGGAGAAATGTTTCCCCTTTTGCATCTGAGCATCCAAAAAGAAACAGGGAAGGAGGAAAGAGAAAGAAGAGAAGATGGGAAGAGAGCAAGGAAGGAAAAAGAAGGAAAGAGGAGAAGGGAGAAGAAATGAAAAGGAAGAGGGAAGAGGGAAGGAGAAGGAAGGAAGGAAGGAAGGAAGGAAGGAAGGAAGGAAGGAAGGAAGGAAGGAAGGAAGATTATAATGAGAGGGAGGGAGAGTCTGAGGGAAGTCCGTCCTTAGTATTTGGCCACAAAAGTTGCCCCTGACACGAGTGCCACCGAGCTGTCCGTACCCACCCCAGCCCCCCAACATCAAACCCCATCCTGATGTGGCCCTCAATGAAATCAAGTTTGACACCCCTGATATAGAAGGTTAGACCAAGAGAGTTTCCATCCTGTCCCCAACAGAGATTATTTGCAAGCCCAACCAATGCCATTTTAGCACTATTCCCAAATCTGACCCCGTATTGAAATCTTCTTCCTTTGGGAGCCCAACAGCATCTCAACAACCTTATGCCAAAAAATAACCAAATTTGAAAACTGGACAATAATTGCCACTGCCATTGGGTCCAAGCGTGGTTTCTTGAAGATAGTTTAAGACCGCAAGGGGGAACCATTGAAGTCCTTCTTATAGCTCTGGTTTTGGTAGACTAGAAAGCATGCTGCTAAAATTTAAAAACATGAGAGAATTGGAAACTGGGCTATTCACTAAAGAATAATTTAATATTTCAGGCAAGAAAATAGGCTTAGCCTTGACCAGAAATGGTATTCAACAGGTTGTGGCCAGTTCTGGAGAACCGGTAGCAGAAATTTTGAGTCGTTCAGAGAACTGGCAAATACCACCTCTGACTGGCCCCGCCCCCATCTATTTGCTGCCCCCTGAGTCCCAGCTGATCAGCTGGGTCTCCTTTGGTTGCCCTGCACAGGAGAATGGAACTGGAAAGCAGGTTAGGTGGGTGGGGAGGGAGGGAATGGAGATTTTGTAGTAATCTTCCCCCAGGAGCGGGGAGGGAATGGAGATTTTACAGTATCCTTCCCCTGCCATGCCCACCAAGCCACATCCACAGAACCAGTAGTAAAAATTTTTGAATCCCTTTAAAAAGCTAAAACTGTGATGGAAAAATAGGAAGTAAGTAACTTCTACAATACAGCCTTCCCCCACAGGCACAACGAAACACGCAAATTCAACAGGTATAACATTCCAAACTGTTTGCCCTGATATTGCGATTATTCCTAAAAGAGCTCTCATACACCTATATATACGTAGACTATATCACCTTAAGACAAGTGAAGATGTACAAATTATGCACAGCATGTATGGTTTGCAGTAATAATTTTTGTCTTTCCAGCGCTCTGATGATTCGTTAACACTGGCAGCCAATTATACCAGACAGGGCTGGAGAGAAACATAGCTAGGTTGGCTTAATAATTATTAAGATGGGAAGAGGACTTTCGAAACAATTCATTCCAAAAAATTTTGGGAGCTCTGTTACATATTCTAGGCCCCTTTTTTTTCATATGTTTGTTTCCTTGAATGCTAATAAGAAATCATGCACGCATCTATTTTGCTGTCAATTTGATGTAGTCTCCCCCCCTCCTTTTTTTTTTTAAAGAAAGGGCTGGGACCTGAAAGCATAATTGGTGATGCTTGGTGCTGCCTGTGTGATAATTTATGGAAATGCATGAGGCTGTTGGGGGTTTGGGTGGCGCTGCTGTTTCCAAGAGAATTTTGCTGAGTCAGTGGTTTGCAATGCACAGCTATCTTGGTTGGGATCTGTTCGGAGGAGGATGGAATTTGCAAAATCTTGGCTCAAAGAAAAGTTGGCTGAATGCAATAGCAATAGCACTTTGAGTTATAGACCACTTCACAGTGCTTTAAAAGCCCCTCTCTAAGCAGTTCACAAAATCAGCCTCTTGCCTCCAACAATCTGGGTCCTCATTTTACCCACCTCGGAAGGAGGGAAGGCTGAGTCAACCTTGAGCCTGGTGAGATTCAAACTGCCACATTGCTGGTAGCTGGCAGTCAGCAGAAGTAGCCTGCAGTACTGCACTCTAACCACTGCATCACCATGGTTTATATGCACTGTATGGAGGCAACGTTAACAAAATTTGCATAGGGAAACTTATTATCAGATTATATTCTCTGGGTCACCTATCTGTATGTCATATATAGTTGTTTTATAGGACCACGGTGGCTTGCGTGATTAGGACCCTGGGTTGGATGTTAGCAAGGCCACGTTCGAGACCCGGGTGCTGTGGGCTGGGGTGAGTTCCCTTCCTTTGCTCCAGCTCCTGCCGGGGGAAATGAAAGGACCCCCCAACTGGGCATCCCTTGGGCAATGGTGATGTCCCCAGCTAATCCTTTCAGCCCAGATGTGCCTTAGTGTGTGATGCTGTAGAAAGTCAGCACTACCACCTCCAGAAGAATGAAATATTTTGGGAAATATTAAAAAAGGCAGAATATTATATTTCCCTAATGGAGAAACATGTTTTTTTAAAGACAGAAAGCAGACTCACTCTTTCTTAATAGCCCCC